ATGAGAGTTCTGTTTTGTTGTTAATGAGAACAACCTAGTAATGGTTTTGAAGCTTCATTTTCTTACTAGAAGTCAAGTATGAGGTCGTGCAAGATCAGTGTTAATGCTCTGATACCATATTGTGAAAAAAAGTATATAACTTTTTGGAGAAATTAACACAGTAAATAATAGTATTTTTGTTGAAAAGAAAAGTCATAGTTCATTAAGGCAAAAGGAAATATATATCCTTACTTAGTGATAGGTTTGTAGCCATACAACTCAAAATAAACTTAACTCCCAAAAACTATAAAACATGATGACTATTACTTTTATGAAATAGAAAATAACTAAACATAAAATGAAAATAGTGTTGCACTAGTAAAAACTGAATCTGTAGTTGAAGACAGTTGTGGATATGTTGCAGCAAATATGTATATTCCTTTGAAATAGGGACTAGCACAATCCAACATAATCCTTTCTAGTCTTTTCTCATAAAGGCTTTTCAACAAGCTGAGAAGGAATGGTGTGGATCAAGATAAATTATGCATGAAAGCAACTCCGTATTAACATTATCAAAGTGCTCATTCAGCTCTTGAAGCTGAAAGTCAACCAAGTGTAAAGTAAATCAACTTTAAAGTGATGAAGATTTGTGGATTTTTTAGCTCTACACCGTGATTTCCCACGGTGCACAAAGAATGCATCCATGTCTGAAATATCAATCTCATGCTTTTCACAAAAATTATAAATTTCTATGAATAAATCATCATCCCAACCATTTTCTCTAAATTCATGGCATTTGAAAGGTCTTGATCTTTTCTTTGTAATGCTTGTGATAAATAATTTGTGATTCCCAATACTTTTTTCATTAAGTGTAATAGGAATACAAATTCAAAATCATTCATTGCTTCAATGAGTCTGCTTATTTCACCCTTGCTATCAAAAAATACTGGCGTATCTTTTACAGTCTCATGCACATCAAGAGTTGGAGAAAGCAAAGAAATCACACTAAGAATTGTATCATAATGTGAACCTCAACGTGTCTCCAGGTCGTTTCAAAGTAGCTTCTTGATTCAAACCTTTTCCGGTCACCATATTACCTCAAGAAATTCCTTCATTTTTTTTCTATTTGTTTCATCTGAAGTAGCTCTTCCCTTTCGCAAGAAGCCCCAACAAAATTTATTAAGGCTGCCAAATATTCAAAGAATGAACTAAGCTTTTCATGTTTTCTTGCAACTGATACAAGTGTCAATTAAAGTTGATGAGCATAACAATGAACATAGAGAGCGAATTGATTCTCGGCCAATTTTAAACTCTTAAGATTGTTAACATTTCCACTCATATTATTAGCCCTGTCATAACCTTGACCACGAATATGTGACATACTCAAACCGTGCATAGCAAAAAGTGAGTTAACGGCCTATTCTAGGATCCAAGAAGTGGTTTCAGGAACATGCACAATGCCAAGAATACGCTCAATGATGCATCCGCATTCTTTCTTGAGGATTGAAAAACCAGCATGAGGGGAAAGAGAGGAAGTGAGGCGTTCAGGGAAAGTTTAATATTTTGTGTTGTGCATAATATTTTTTAAAGTGATGTTTAAACTTGTGCTAGGCTATAAAAATGTTTTTGGATCGAAATTTAGCTTGCCATATTGTACATAATATTTTGTATAATAATATTTAAAATTAAATAAATATTACAAAATATTATTATAAATATATTTTTACAATAATTTTCTAATTTTCACCAAAAAAAAATCAAGAGGGTTCCACTACCCCCTTCCCCTCTCTAAATCCCTAAAAATATCTAAAATATATAATACTAACTAAAAAAAAATTCGGAAGGTCCACTGCTCCGTTGGCCTTATGTAAATCCGGCCCTGGTCCCACTCCCTGCTTGGACAATGATTTATGAGGGTTTTGATATGATATGGTGGGTTGCTTGTTGCTTTTGTCTATTCGTTTGCTACGTTAATGCTGATTGTTGGGTGCTGCTTACATTTGGATGCCACGTTTGTTGTGTTCAAAGTTCGATGCCAGTAAGAAACAAAAACAGATCACTGCTGGAGTTTTTCACTTCTTACTGGAACCTTTCTTCGATCTCCCTGTGACACTTTCGTATATTGGCTGTGCCAGGATGAGTCTACACTTTCCTGGCTGTTTTTGTGAGCCAATGAACTCTTGAGGTCTGTCTATTTCTCCAAGTCGGATCTCCCCTTGGTTTCTACAGGGCTTTCCTGCTTGAATGAAGATAGATAACTTTGAAAAAAACCAAGTGCACTGGCTACTATCTTATTATTTTTAGTGAAGAAAAGAAGGGGGTCTAACTACTCCCAAGTTAAAAAAGATTCACCATTCCACTCTATAATTAGAGATGCATATCATATAATAAATAGTCAATTATCATGGAGGATTCTCAAAGCCATGTAATATTAAAAATCAATAGAAGCAGCCAAAGAAATTATTTATATACTCAAAGGATCCGAGTCCAAAGATACCACATTATTTAATGTCCCTCTTGTTAAGCTATAGTCTTCTGACAAATGAGTATCCTTTGTATGACATTATCCAGTGAAGAAGGGGATACTTGCAACCAAGAAAACAAGGCAGCAGCCAACTACAAACTACCACACAGGCATCTTAAGTAAAGGAAAGGGAAAAATTAATAGACACTCAATGATCAACCCCAATCTTATTGGATTGCGTGACCAAGGCATTAAAATTTTAGAAATCGAAAATTGAGTATCTTACCTAAAGCCAAACATGAAATTAACATTATTCTAACGACCATAAAAGAAAACAAAACAAAAATTCCTCAATAAAGCAACTACAAGTGTTGTTGGATTGATCTTAAGCTTGAGGTGGGCTTTGATTATCTTCCTCTTCTGGTTTTATAAGCCAACGATTCAGACGTTCAGATGCCTTCTTTACCTGCAACAAAATAAGCAAAAAGCCAAATATCAATTAGTAACTCTAATGATAAGGGTGTGAGGAGTTTGGGTATTTCTAATCTAATTGCTTACCTGCTCATCCCAATCCGTTCTCCACACAATGAAAGCAAGAATGAACGTTTGTAATGCTACTCCACCCAGCAGTCCAATCCATAGACCCTAGAAATTAGAAGAAGAAACTCCCAAAATTAAGGGCAAAAACAAGTAAAAATACAGGGCACCATCCTCTTCATTTTTTTTTTATAGATATATATATCCCTTCTTACTGTAACTTCAAGATGTAGCACGTATCCAAGCACAGCTCCAAGAGGCAATCCTACGGCATAATAACACCCCAAGTTCACAAATGCAACCATACTTTGAAAACCAGAACCAATTGCTACACCTGAAACAACAATTCAAGGGTTTAGATATTACAAAGAACTCATTGATTTTGCAGGCAAAACCAATAAAATAAATAAATAAAAATAGAATAAAATGAGGCAAGTCTTGCCTGTTAGCACTGGTTGAATGCTGTTGAACAAGATTGAGATGGCAAGAAGAGTTGAGAGGCTTGACATAACTTCTGCAACTTGTTCATTACTGGTAAACATGTAGGAAATTTGACGCCCAAATACTAAGCACAAAACAAAGAACACCAGTCCAATGCAGATTGATGTACTCATAATCGTTTTTATTGCAAATTTCACTGCCTTGGCTTTTCCTCTCCCTAATTCATTCGCAACCCGCACTCTGTGAAGATTCAGGGCAGTGAAGGAGACAAAAACAAAAATTAAGATGTTGATATATTGAGGAAAAGGAAATCAAATATAAAGGGAAGGGAACAAATATTACATTGATGCACCAAACAAGCCAAGGCAGATCATGAATTCCCATGCATTGACATTTAGGCTGCATTTGAGAAGCTAATTTCTTAGTAAAAGCATAGTAAATTAATCAGTTTCTGATAGAAAACTAACTTACCAGATGGAGAAAGCAGCAATGGCAACGGTTGCATTTTTCATGTATCCAGCCAGCAAGACAAGAATGGCATTGTACCACAACTCTAAGCTGTCAATCAAAAATCAGTTCAAGAGATTAGAGCACACTGCATGTAACTTTACTTTGAATAGCCTCCTTGGGTGAAAATTTCTATGAGCACTGCTAGAGTAGCTAATACTTTTGAGCCTAGCTCGTAAATAAGTCAAACATCAGGAGCAAGCATTTCTATGTCTACTGATCCGACACGATGTAGGACAAAAAAATGTAAAGCAGCTACTTAGCATTTTCAAGTTTCTATTGCACAGCAGTTTTATATACAAGCAAGAGTAAGTAATTGCATGAGTTTTTTTGAGATTTACCATATCATAACCCCAGAGGCCAAGGAGAGCTTTACTATAGGCAATAGATCATAGAAGGCAGCTTTGGAGAATCCTTTCCATGTATTGGGGCACCAACCTCCAAAGATGAACACAAACTCTCCGAAAACCATTGCCCAATTACATAAATTCAAGGAAACCATTGCCCCAGCAACCCCCCAGTTAAGTTTGTAGACAAAGATCCATGACAGTAACAAGTGAAGAACAAATGCAGCAGCACTTAGACAACCAACAATCAAGTTCTTGAGCTGCGCCTGGAGGTACATTTGGATGGTGAGTCCAAAAACCATGTAATAAAGCATGGGAATAAACCATAGAGAAATTGGTCCAGCTGCATCCGCAATCTTGTCTTCCTGCCCAAGTAGTTTGAAAATTGGTGTAGCCAAAAAGAATACAGGGAGTAATATCGTCGCGGTAATACCATCAACAATCCATGACCGTTGCAGGTATATTCCCATCATGTGGTACTGCCCTGCTCCAAATGCTTGCCCGCATAGAGTTTCAGTTGCACTCGACATGCCAATCTTTCAGATTATTTGAACAAAAAAAAAAATTAGAACAATACTTTGTTAGGTTTCATAATCTTACTTGAAATAATAACCAACAAAATCTTATGGAAAAAGTGAATGTAGAGTTAAAGTCATGAGAGCTGGCTTACCAGTATACCATTGATAAACCGTACAAAAACGCTTTGAACGAGGGCATAAGTGGCAAGCTCAACTTCGCCAATGTGACCAAGAAATGACTGTGTCACAACAATCATCCCGAAAGAAGTGACCCTGGATAACATTCCTGGGAAAGCAACCCTCCATATTGTCTTTGTTTCAATCCAAACTCTTCTTTTCAGATCAGTCTTGTCTTCTTCTTGTGGCTGTGCAAGAAACCCTTGCTCTAAATTGTCATCCATGGCTCTGCAAAATGAGAGTAGAATGAGAAATTTAAGTTAAAGGCCTGACTGAACCTCTCCAGTTGCCTTAAGTGATCAACTTGCTTGATATGAAGAGGGGAGTCAAATAGTTTTACCTGTCTACTCTGTGCCCAAAGTTCAGCACAAGCAGACCTAGCAATCTAGGACTTCCCCAAGAGACTTAGGAAATGCCTTGGCTATGACAGGTCTCTACAGTTGGAAAAATGCTTAATTTGTTATTTTTATATACAGAATTATTTTTGAACAATTGACTGGGGAGTTGAGAGAAAAAGAAGCTAAAAATGTGAGAAGTTGACTGGTAGTTTAGTTAGATGGTTCTATGAATGTTTCCCTCGAGAGGAATTCATGGCTTCTAGAAATGATGAATGCTCAATATTTAATAAGGGACTACGTTGGAGAAGTATAGACCATGCATTAGAATTTTAAATTTTATGCTCTCCAAACTGTAATTTAAAATTTAGCAATGTCTTGTACCTAATAAAGTAGGAAATAAAAGTGGACCCACCAAATTGCATAACATTTAATATTGCAAATAATGCTTGCTGAAATTAATGCTAGGCTAGTAATTCTAGTAAATAATAAAGTAAAGAAATTTCATTCTAAAAATTCCAGTTCAGTACAATTGAACATTTAAATTAGTGGGTGTATATTTTATGGATCCAAACTCTCAATTCAAAAGACCTACCTATTAAGTGGAAAAAAAACCCTTACTTAAAAATTCAATCCATTTCATTTTTTATTGATGTGAGATATTTTCCATCACTCAATTGTGTAACATTTTCATTGTTTATTTCACTTATAAAAAAGAGAGATTGACTTTGAGCGTATTTCGACTTTGGTATTTTTTATGAAAAATTTCACGTTAGTGGAAAATTGAATAAGTTTCTTATATCATTTTCACAAGATAATATTTTCAACTTGAAAGACATATCTATTAGATGAAAGGAAACTCTTCTTTATAATTTCAATATCCATTAAATCTCTTACTAATATGAGATCTTCATCCATGGCAAATGTATCTCCTATTTAATGAAACTAGGATTTGAATAAAAAATTACAACTTAATTTTCCTTATAATTTTATACAAGACATAATAAAATGGATAACAAAAAAGTGAATAACCTCAACTTAGTTTAATTGTTCTTTTTTCTTTGTTTTTGTTCTTGAAGAGTTGTTATGAAGCAAAGTGAAAGGTAAAGAATAATTTCATATTACTTAAAAATGGACAAGTTATTAAAATGTAACCCTTATTATAGTTTAATCAATTAATATAGCAGTATAATTGTGTATTTTGTTATATAAAGAAGTTATATTGTATTTATAATTCTTTCAAATCTATAATTTAAATTTATGCCAAAATGTAACTGTTTTTACTTCTAAAATTAAATTTTTAATTCAAATATATTTTTACTAACAAATATCATCATTTGCACGGATGATGGAAATTTTAAACTCTATAACTAGATTTAAAATATTGACACATACCTTATTAAAATATATTTATAAAATTAATTAATTGATTATTAAATAAATGTATAATAATAATTAATTAACACCACTTGTATGAAATTTAAAAATTTCATCATCCAATTGTGTACAAGTGTTTTACATATAGGAAAATCTTTTTGTCTTTGATGTGGACGGTGAAAGTGCTTCACATCACAGGACACAATCTAGAAAGCGAAAGAAAAGTAGCTGATAAAAATAGATTAAAAGTGAAGAGCACCAACGAATATTCAATCAATATTTGGCTGGTTGGTGAAGCAAACACATAACAATAAGAGTTGACCGTTGTTTTTCAAATTTTTTTTTATATGTTGGGATTAGTTGCGTGCGGCGATTAGCTTTGGATAAAACATTTTTTATACGAATTAAACAGGATTACTATAACGAGATTTGACGGCTTGCAATTAATTGTAAATTGCATGCTTTGGCTGGGATTACCTTGAAAACGACAAAACTTGTTCAGGTTTTTTCCGTAGCAACGACAAATGTTGTTATGTGTAAAGGACATCAGCGCCATTACAATACAATTCAAAGCTCAGGTCTAAACTAAATGGTTATACAAACGTTTTTTCCATTACGATCATCACATTTTCACCCCTTTCATCAGATTAATATTTAGAAAGCTCGAGTCGTATTTATTTAAAAAATAAATAAATAAATTTTGATTGGTCAATTGTCTTCAATTTTATTCATTTATTTTTATTTGGATCAAAATAGATATTTAACATTTTATTTTTGCATTATGTTAACATATAAAAAGTGAGAATGTTGTGTAATCATGTAATTATGTCAAATTTGTATATCACATCACTATATACTACGTAATATAAAATAATAAAAAATTAAAAAAATTTAAATTTTTAATAATTTAATAATTTTTTAGATATTATACTACTTATGGGTTTTTTTTAATATTTTATTGAAGAGCAAAAAGGAGGCAGAAGATATGGCTAAAAAAGTTTTATTTGTTTAATCGAAAAGCTACTACAAATAGTGTTCATTTAATTTAAGCTAGATATGGGCCTCGATTATCTTCCGCTTCCGGTTTTAAAAGCCACCGATTGAGACGTACATATGCTTTCCTTACCTGCAATAAAATCATTTAAATTTAACTCTAAACGATAAAATTACAGTAAAAAGTATAGATGAACATCCTAAATTTGAGCTATTCTATTTCCTTGTATTGGAAAAAAGGAAAAAAATATATTTCTGTTTTATGAGTTTCTTTTTTTTTTTTTTGTTAATTTGGTTACCTGCTCTTCCCAATCCGTTCTCCACACAATGACAGAAAGAATGACGGTTTGTAACACCACTCCACTAAGCAATCCAACCCATAGACCCTATAATAGGAAAGAATTTAATTATGAGATTCAAATATAATATTGTCAAGGATTATTTAAATTGTGATTATAATGTAATCTGATCAAATATGAATGAAAATATTTCTTCTTACCCTAACTTCAAAATCTAGCACATAACCAAGCACAACTCCAACTGGTATCCCTACTGCATAATAACATCCCAAGTTCACAATTGCAACTGTACTTTGCATACCAGCGCCTGTGGCTACACCTGAAACATCATTTTATAGGTTTAGATGTGTATTAATCTCT